TGCAAAATATAGAGATAAAATGAGCAGAAGGTCAAGGAAAAGAAGGAGGGGTGGGGGAGGGGAGGGAGAAGAAATGGAGGAGAAACAGGCTAACAATCTAACGTGACTACTGATCCTCAGGAGAGCTATTCCTTTGGAGTAGAGAGGGCAGATTGGTTGAAGCGAGGCTGTAAAAGAATGAGTGCAAAGTGAGACTGTAAGACCAAAGCCCGTAGACCAGGCGAGAGGGCCTTCACCAGGCCTGTGCTTTCAAGGCTCTGCTTTGACCTTTCTCCAGCCACACACACACCCCCATGGACAAGAAATCCCTGGCCTTGGGGCCGAAGGAGCACACTCATTGGAGCCCACACTCTACTTCAAGATTATAATGTGATTATCCAGGACCCTAAATTCCCTACCCCAAAATCTCCACGCTCACTTCTAAGCCTCCTTCTCATGGGCCTCCTCTCTAGTTCAATCCATGCAGTGGTCAGACCATGTCATGGCAGTGCACACTCCTAGCCTAAGGGATGACCGAGGGTCAGCTGTTCACAGGATGGAGGAGTGAGGACTGTCTTGGATATGTGGGCTGGGGTATCCACATGCATGCACTCAAGGACCCTCATGATGGAGGATGGAGCCAGAAGTGCATAATAAGAAAGGCTGAGTGTGAACCAGAGGCCCAGCACCAGTTCTGCCCTACAAAGCCATGCTCTACCCCAGAACTCCAAGGACTCTCAGAATTCTAAATTTGATCCTGACCTTCTAGGTATATTTATCAAGGTGAGACAATAGAATGCACTTTATTTAACAGCGCATTACTTGACCTATAACTTTTAAATATTTAGCCATACAGTGTGCAGGTTCCATTTGTGCTCTTGCCTGAGGCCCCACAATGTCGAGGTGGGGCCTGGTGGAGATATAGATAATAAACCACACTTTCAATGAGTGTGCCAGTGAAAAGCTAGGAAGAGGTAAAGTATTAGGGTAGAAAGGAGTGTTTTGTTTTGTTTTGTTTTGTTTTGTTTAAGATAGGATTAAACATATTTTATCCATAAGAGAAAATCTCCAGTAGGGAGAGAGGTTGGAGATACAGGGAAAAGTGGTATACCAGAAAGCATCCTTGAGGAATTAAAGCAGTGTATAATTCAAAAAATGGTGGTGGTGAGTGTTAACCACAGAATGAAAAAGGGGTGCTCCTCCTCGCAAGTCAGGAAGAGCAGCTCTGGGAATAGGAAGGGTTAGGGAAAATCCTGGGAATGGGTGGCAGAAATTAACTTAAATTTAGCAGTTAAAAGTTGTCTGCATTTATCTTTTATCCGTCCTTCCAGGAGCTCTGACAAGTAACAAATACAATGAGAGGTGAAGTATTTTAATTACTCTAGAGAAATAAATTAGTAGAGTAAGTTCAAGTGCGTCAAGGGAATTTGGTTACTTCGTTTATGGAAAGAAATCTGGATTTAAATATTACTGCCATAATTTTGACTTTTTAAAAACAAGGCGACTAAATACCAAATTAATCAGTATAATCTATTTTATTCATAAATCCAGTACAAACTTGATTTGGCAATATCCAGTTACCTCAAGAGCTATTGCAAAATTGTACCCAAATACTCAAACAGGTTGAATTTTGATTCACCTTCAAAATTATAAATACACGTGACCTATGTCAGCATTTTATGAGAGGGAAGAGAAGTTATGAAATCAAACTAAAATAGTAACATTTCATAATGTCCGAAAGCCTGTCAGCAGTTGGAATCATTCAAAAGTTCCTAGGTAAAATGGATTTAAGCCATTGATATGCTTACATGGGAAAATTAAGATTTTTTAAAACTCTGAGATCAAGAGAGTAGAACAGGCTGTCCCAGTTTAAGAACACCCAGTTTATAAAATTTTAGTCAGACGAGGTCACGCTACACACCACATTCTCCTACATTCAACAGCGAACTCTGAACACATCTAGGTAACGTGATTCCCTGGCTCTCAGGCAGCCGTGGCTCCTGAACATGAACCCATGTTTACTCTCCCTCCCACCTTCCATCAAATATACTCCTTTTACCATGCCGGATTTGAAGGGACAGCAGAAGATTCCAGGTTCCAAAGTTTAAACTGATTTCCCATTGAAAATAATAATAATAGTTTAATAATTATGAAACTTATTTTTCAGGCCACAAAAGGTTTTTTTAGCTCATATAATAAGTAAAATATTTCTCAGTTGCCTCCATGGAAGAATATGCGCTGAGTTCCAAACAACCAATTTAGGAAGATACATTTTGAAATCAACTCATTCCTAAACTGGGAAGAGCTCAACGATTTGTTCTTGCTTCCCCATCCCTCACTCCCTTAATTTATCTCTTTAAATGACTGCCATTTGAAGACAGTCATTCTGGATTTGGGGATCACCGGATAGCCCTCATAGATGAGCAGTTAACCAAAGAATTGAGTATCGACCTCCCATAAGGTTATTCGCATTGGCATCCTATGCTGGAGTTCTGGTCCTCCCAAACCTGGATTGGCTCCCTGGCAGTGACAGAAGGATTCCTCAACACCCATCCTGACACCAGCATAAAGGACATGTTGGAGAGACTATAAATGAAGACATGGAGACTGGTGAAATGTTTCTCACCCTCCGTTTTCCAGATGGAAGACAATGGGAGCCTGGAACAAAGGAGTGACCTTTGCATCAGGGAGATTTGGGGAGGTGAGAGATGCAACAGAGGTGAGATCCACAGGAGTCATCAAGGAATTGCTCGTGGGGTGGGATAAGGATCATGAGGAAGGGCTGAAGACCTGAAAAGCCCCCTTCCATCCTCCCTGAAGTGGCCGTTCTCCCCATCTCCTCTATGCTCCCTCCGAGCCCCTTCCATCTTCTCTAGATATGAAACTTAACCCTCAGACTGGACAGTAACCTGATGAGGACAGGAAACACATCTAGTTGGTCTTTTATTCCCCAGCCTCTAGGTGCAGCACCTAGCACCCAGCAGCCTATCAACATATGTTTTAACAGTCACCCCTGCCCATGAGTAGGCTCCAGATGTCTCCTTACAAAAATAAGGCCAGGTGGGACTCCAAACCCTCTTTCCTTGGGTTCCACACAGTCAGTGTGCAGCCTTCCCTACCTGCTGCATGCTGCGGAGATGCCTGCTCTGCTGCACTGCAAACACATCTTTAAAATCGAATCACTCCTTCACTCTTCCTCAGAATCTACTCTAAAATTTCCAGCAAGTTCTCCTCTTTTTATCCTGCCGCCCACCACCCGACCCCATTCCCCTCTGTTCCCCAAGATGTAGCCTTCTTTTAAACTCATTTACACATTTTTTTTTTTTTTTTTTTGCTGGGGCATTTAATTTGTATTTTGGTATATTCTGGCTATTTCTTACTAAATATAGGAGACAGCTTCTCTTTTTTGTTTAAGTGCAAGTGCTGCACAATATTCTTAGTTTTATGTGCCTTCTTTCAAGGCCTTTCTGAAATATTTTTTTTGTGCCTGAAAGCCAGTGGAGTCTTGCACAAGGACTTTAATGGCTGAGTCCAAGGCAGAGTGCTGTAACTGCCTATTAACCATTTGTTACCTCAAGTTTATCACCTTGATGAATAAATAAGTTGTCATTTGCCCACAGGTCCTATTCTTGAATGGTAATTAAGAGCTCTGTAGCTCATCTTCCCTATACTCATAATTTGGACCAATTTCACCTAAGAGTGTTTAATTAACCACTTCGATTCAATCCGATTCTTCCTAAGACATTTAATTCAATAGTTATTAAGCTTCTTCATAAAAGAGACACTGACAACTTTCTGTCTTTTCACAGGATATCTAAGATCATCCTGCAAGTTAACCCCCATCATACTATGTCACCACTTAAAAGAGCTAAGTGTCAACTTTAAACATAAAGATTTCCACTGTCTAAGCATCTTTTAAATCATTTCTGAAAATGTTTAGTAAGCCAATGTCTTATCCTTGATAAGAATGTTCTCTCATGATGGTTAATTTAATATGTCAGCTTAACTGGGCCATGGTGCCCAAATAGGTGGTCAAACACTATTCAGAATGTTTCCGTGAGGGTGTTTTGGATGAGATTAACGTTTAAATCTGGCGACTTTGAGTAAAGCAAATTGCCCTTTATAATGTGTGTGGGCCTCATCAAATCAGTTGAAGGCCTGAAAGGGACAAAAGACTGACCTTCCCTAAACAAGGGAGAATTCTGCCAGCAGCCTTTGGATTTGAATTGCAACATAGGCTCTTCCTTGGATCTTCGGCCTGCCACCAACCCCTGCAAATTTTGGAGTTTCCTGCCTCTATATTAATGTGAGTGAATTCCTTAAAATAGATGAGATAGACATATAGATATAGACATCGCCTTTTGGTTCTGTTTCTCTGGAGAATTCCAACTAATATACCCCCATTCATGATACAGATCTTTGAGGTGGAAGATTTTGTGTTGGCAGGACAGGATGACTTGGGTAGTGCTAGCAATTTGTTGGAGATTCTGACTAAAGACCTATAGGCAGAAGGGAAGAAGGGATGCTCTGGAGCTCTGATCCATGACTGGGCATATGACATAGGGGAAAGAATTCCGATAGAGCGAAGGGAGAAAAGTAGCCTCTCATAATGGTATCCTAGAAGCAATCTAATAGGTCTCTGAGAGGGTATTAATAATCAATGCAACTTGAGTAATTAAATTTAAAGAATCTGTTGAAATTTTATTTTCTGCTTCTATTGTATATTTTTTGTGCGTTAGTCTGTGCAATCATTTAATCTAAGACCACAGGGAACTGGAAGACAGCCTCCTTCACATTAAAACCATTCTTATCATATTGGTGTTGACTTGGTGCTGGGGCACACAGTATCTACCCTGCTTTCCACCATTGATTTCAGCCCTTATGGCTCACAGAGAGCAGTAAAACTGTCCTTTTCTCCAAGAAAACTGTCCTTTTCTCCAATAAATGGGCTCCTGCAAATGTATGTGTTGCATATCTCTGTGAATTGCTTTATATACTGATGACACACCAGAGGAGTTGGCTATTTCAAAGAAACTTTGCAAGTATCTCATTTTTTAATGCCATAAGCTATTCTGATTCAAGATCACAACCTCTCTCCAACATATCAGCTTTTGACATTCCATTTTGTGCTTAAGAGGTTTAATCGAAGCAAGATAAAACTATATTTAATAACGTTTAATTGCCTGAGTTACTGTAGAAATGCCTAATGTATTACCAGAAAGTAGCTGAATGTCTTGAATAAATGCCAAGTTGTCCAAATCAAACTGACTGACAACTTAAAAAGAAATGTCATTATTATCCACATTTTCCTATGTTTTTTCCAAAAGAAAACATTCACATGGTGAAGGGAATCAGAATCTGTTTTTATATCCCTAGAGTTATAAACATTTGTATCAAAATATTTACAATTATAGTATATGAAATATCAATCTATTAAAGAAGAAGCCAAATACAGTACTAGAACAACCCACCAATGTAATACAAATTACATGAGATATAAGTGGCACAGAAACAGAGTAAAAGACAAGGGATTACATGGTTCACTCCAGTCATCGTTTGACTTTTTAACATAAGGCGAGTATCTCTTTTGGATATATCTGATATGTAAGTATGCTTCTGCACATAAGGCAACCTTCTATAATCATGTGATAATTAAATCATAATTAAAAAGTTTACCATCCCACAGTTTTTTGCTTACCGACTTGTCTAACCTCTGCCCAGAGAATTTGGTGGCCTGTTCTCAACATTCCCGTAACCAGAATAAACACAGAGAAATATACTTAGTAATAGTCCTTTTACATAAATACCAGCAATCATGCCATAACAACTCTCCAAAAAGGAAAAGTATATAAGAAATAGGAGGAGGGGAGAGCTGGGAGTAGAAAGTAGGCAAGATGTCTCAGATTCTCCCTAGGGAAGATCTTCTTCTCAGGATGACAAAGGAAATGTCGTCCCAAAATAAACCCTTTAGGCAGAATCTGAGATGGCTTAAAATAGCTGCACCAGGCCAGAGCAATGCCTGCTTAACCAGGAATAACATATTATTTCTAAGTCCTATATAGAAATTCTCTTATGGCAACAGACAGATCAATTACCATCTGACTGGGTACCACTAGAGTTTTTGGTTTTTGTTCTTTAAAGAAAATATCTTCCCATCACCTATATTTTTATTTATCTCATGGAAATTTTCTCATTTTCCTGGGAGCACAGGCACTGTGTTCTTATCATGACTGAACTCTAATATGCTTAATACTTTACAATTATATAGCACCTTTCGCCCAAGGATCTGTTGTTTGGTTTTGGTTTATGTGTGTTTCAATAAGCTTCCAGAATTACCTTGCCTCGCCTATGGAGCAGGACAAGCAGAGCCTCTGAGAGGTGGCCACTTAGGAGCCCTGATCTCCAGTATGAATAATTAGGTAAAACTTTTTCAAAAGTTTATAATTTAGAGGGAGAGTAAAAGATTGTGTTACAAGGAACTATGTTCATCTCTCCCGTTATATACTTAAAAGTAACACTGATTGCATGAAAAGGGAATCCAAAAAACATAACCCTAATATAGCGCTGTCGCAAGACTGCTCTTTGATCCCATAATTTGTGTGGTGCTTTCACCACAGAATTGGTTGTTAGTGGCTTTAGAGAAATTCTAGAAGAACTGCCGTGCCTTTAAGCGGGAGGCCTAGCAAAGTCCGCAGCAAGAGGTCTCCTTGAGGGATAGCTGTGTGAGGTCTGGTCTAGGTTCTGACCATCCCCCAGGCCTTCCATTGTAAAAAGTTCTCTTTCTTGATTTAGCTAACCCATCAACTTGACTATGTGACTATATCTCTTCCTCCCATTTTGTCACAAATACCACTGAATTCTATAGAGCTAAATATCTGTTCTAAAGAGGGACAATGGCTCGCTGGCCGAAGCTCTCCTGTGGGACCTTCAGACTGGAATGTGATGCTTTGCTTTGGGTCAGGAGGGCGGGATGGCTTCCAGGCTTAGCATATTCAGTACAAAGACACTATCTGCTCTTGCCGGAACTTGTACCGCTCTTTTAACTAGCAGTAGGTCCAAGGACTGCAGTAGGTCCAAGGACTGCAGTGTAAGACCCAGAATTCACCTTTGGAAGTAGAGCCAGTGGTGTGGCAGCTGATGGGGCTCCTGGCAGTGTGTGTAACTGAGAACAGCTGGAGGCCAGATCTGGTGGCTGGTATGAGGCTCTCTGGCCCACAGGGAAGTTCTAGCCAACTACTTTTTCCCAAGGGCAGGGTGTTGACAGTAGAGGACCTCCTCAGTAACGATTTGGGTTTCAGCCTCTCCCACCCTAACTTCTCCCTCCCCCACCCCCCTCCCCATCTTGTTTTTTTCCTGCAGAGCAATTTCCACTTTCCTCCCAGATTCAACGGCTTCCTCCTCCCCACCCCCCAGATCCCCATAAACTTGTTCAGGCTTATTTCTTTCTCAGGACCAGATATAGAATGCCAATGATGAAACTAAAGCAGAAGCAGATCCAGGTCAGGATGAAGGAATAGCCGTGGTGACTTTTAAGGTAGGAGGTTCCATAACCATCCGCATAATGATGAGTGTAGATGGACACCCCGACCATAATGCACAGCCCTGCAGGGGGAAAAGAAATGTATGTTTATTTGTTTGTTTGTTTGTTTTTAACACTGAAACAAAGAACAAGATTTTATAATTTGTAAAAGACCCTCTTTCCTTCATCTGCATTGGGGAAAAGAAATCTGGCTATTTGGCCCTAAATAGTTCTGTCAATTTGCCCTGAACCAAGCTTGATATTTCTATTGGTAAATTACATATCTTCACTGGCTGGTGTGGCTGCAAGTGTGAAGTGAAATCAGAATTTCGTGTCTACCACCCAGCTTTCCCGTCTGGACCCCGGCACATGTCGGCAGGCTGCTCAGGGATGCAAAAGAACATGGCGTTCCTCCAAACAGTGTGTATGTGGGAAGAATGACAGGACAATGAGAATGGCAACAATTGTGAGCATTGTGGCCATGGCTGCATCTTTATGAAGACTCCCACATGCCCTCCATCTTCAAGCATCTTGTACACAAGTAGTACCGATGTGCCCGCCCCATCCACTGGGGAACACTAGATTTAAACAATGAAGCAAATGAGGATTCTAATTCCAAGCAGTTATCAGGAGTCCTCAAAAAAAGAGACTAAATAACCAGAGGAGAGAATTGTACGAGGCCACTTCCCCGAGCCGTGTGCTTTATCTGTCCGAGTTGCCAATAACACCCATGGTAAGATGTACATAAAAGCATTGCCTGCATAAACCGGAGTTCGCGCCTGAGATACTCACAGCACACCAGCATGGTGGCTCCCGAGAGGAAGAAGCGGTTTCCCTTCTCCATGGTGAAGAGCTGGAACACGAAGACCACGAGGGAGATGACAGAGAAGATGATGGAAAGGATCATGAAGGCCTGCACTGCCTTGAGCGCATCTGTGGACACAGGGCGAGGAGAGCAAGGGTGTCAGGCCGACCAGTCCCCAACAGGCTGAATGGTTCCCCAATCACATAGAGCATCAGCACAGAATACGATATCTTTACAGATACCTTCATTGGCATATGGCAGGGTTCCATCGCAGCTAACATCGGTACAGTTTTTCCAAAGACCTACTGATGCTTTTCCAGAATCTGAAACCACCCAGACCTGAAACCAGAAGGAAAAAAAAAAAAGTTGTTTAAGAACTGATCCCTTGCTTTAAAAAAAGAAATGGCAAATCAGCTTGTGTTGGGACCAAATCTTAATCGAGACACCCTATTTAGCCGCAAATGTGGTTAAGCAACCCATCTCTTGGTGGAAATAAGGTTCAACTAAAACTGAAGTCACAAAGGTGCCAAGGGAAAAGAGAGAGAAGACTGTGTGATACAGGGGAGATCGCCTAGCCTCTCTGGGCTTCATATTCCTCATCACTCTAAAAAAAAAAAAAAAAGGAAGTAATTCAACCACAGAGGTTTAAAATTCTAAGGTTCTAAGAAATGGAAACGTTGGATGAGGAAACTGGTTTTAAGGAGGCATCATTCCTACTCTATCAAGATTATTTCACTTAAGGGCCTGGCTAAGAAGGAAAAAAGTTAAGGAAAAATGTTCAACTGGAGACAATTAAGAAGCACAAGGGAATTAAGAAAATAGCAATGAGTCTGGGTGATTAACAAGCCACTTTTGTCTAAACAGAATGATCAAACTTTGATGGTCACAACATGCCAAGTAATTTCATAGTAAAATAGTACCACAAGAACTTTACTGTGGAGGCAGCTAAAAGTAGAAGAATGACCAGAATATATTCCCTGAGGCTCACCATGGTACCAGGACCCCTTCTTACCCTGCCCAATAAAAATAGTTATCCTACTGGAATGAAAAACAAACACCCAGCTCTGTCCACAGAGTATCTGTCTGTTAAAATGCACGTTATGGGAAAGGCAAGGCCAAATGTGCAATTGCCTGCTTTTGATTCCATATTCAGCACCTTGGCATCCACCGATATAGTTTGAAGTCACTTATCAGACGTGTTGCCCTAAGAGACTCAGGGACTGGCATACAGAATGGCTGAATTACAGTCTTCAGGAGGCTGCATGGGCAAAGATTCTGTCTTATCACGGTCATGTTTAAATTAGCCTTGCTTATAATCACACCCCCCAATGTTGGCAAAACTCTTCCATCTGAACTTTAAAACCCACTTATCCTGTAACTGTAACAGGGACCTAAACAGATTCTGGAACCATCATTTGCCTGTCTAGCGATTGGTAGCCTTAGTTTTTATCCCCGAGGAACTTTTTTTTTTTTTCCCTAAGAGCACAAGAAAAACAAATTAGATGTTACAAACTACCACCAGAGGGCAGAGTAGCCCAAAGTTCAAAGAAAGACTTGCTACCTCTGCCATGTTTATATTGTTTTGAGTGAGTGAATTCAGAGGAACCAGGTTAATGTTGCGAAATTCCACTTTCACGTGCTACCCTTTGCTCAGAACTTGAATTCATCAGTCTGGCAACCATAGCTTTTCATCATGTCCCTCACTAATCAAGGTTCCTAGAAGGAAGTTCTGCTCCTGCCACCTGGGTGCCCTCATGATGCCCTGAACGAAACCTGTCCCTGCCACCTGGGCCCCTTGAATAGCACTCCTATCTGGAATGTATGTTTATGCTCCTTCCGCCATCCATCTTTATACCAACGGGAAGCCCAACCATCTACCAGTCCCCCAAGCTCCACCTTAGCTGAGAAGACTCCCGTAGAGACGGAATGGACCTCACTGTCTTCTCCAGGCTCTAGATGCCTACAGCCTGGTAGGCTCACTCACATAGACAGTGGCTTTATCCTCCTGTTATTCAGTTGTTTGAAGTGCAAGTATGTGTTTATTTTTTTCTACGACTAAGCTGAAAATTCACAAAGGGCGGGGATTGTGGCTTCAACATCTTTTGTAGTAATTCGTGTAAATATTGAAATAACTTCTGACTGAATGAATGAACAAAAGAATATTACTCACGTTGGCGATGGTGGAAACAAATAACATAATGACAGTGGCAATGTGGACCACAAAGATGCCAGCCAGTAATACCAACATCTTGGCTTTTTGATGACTTGTGAGTACAGAGAGTCCTGAGAAGAGAGAAGAAAACGAATGAGAAAGAAAAGGTTACTGTCAGATTCAATAAGATAATTCAGCTTTTCCACACATGTGAACTATCTGCTAAAATCAGGAGGAGTTGCAATAAAAACCATCACAATTTCATCCTAAATTCCTGAAAACAGCCTGGCTCCCCAAATGCCTAGTTGTCTATTTACGTATACCTAAATATGTATATCTAAATATAAACACCATTCTGCATCTCAGGTATTTATATACTCTTAATTCAACCTGTTTCAAAAAAAAAAAAAAAGAACATTTTATAACTGTTAATATTTTACTTTGTTTGTGTTTTAGAGGCCAAAAGTAGGACTTGGATTTTGAAAAGGCCTTTGACGACTACAATTTTCAGTGAAACAATGTCATATAAATTTCCATTTTCCACTAGGAACGTGTCCCTGCCTCTGTCAAACTGCTCACTCAGCAGTTTTAATGGAAACAGATCCTTTCCTCGATGCCCACAGACTGGATAGGCTACTAATTTGATCCCGAGTGAGATATAAAATGTGAGAGTCACAACTTCTATTATTATAATGCTCTTTGGTATTCAATAATTATAACAACCTAATTACAGTTTAATGGTCTGATCACCTACATGTTGACTATTTCAGACTCTTATTACTGCACCTGAGCCTTTGGGCTGCGTGTCCCCATGGTAGAAACTGTGCTATTGGTTTGGGCTCAGGCATAGCATTATATTTCCTATGACTCAATATGACAGTTCTGGGGGCTTTGGAAGTATGCAGCTTGAGATACCACCAAATGTGCCTTCTACTTTTACACGACATTTATACAAATTCCAATCCTTCAATACTCAATACAGAAGACAAGCAAATGCATAAATCACATGGTGGGAGAACTGGGAACTAAAATAAATTGAGAATGTGCATGGATAAACAAAGCTTTCAGCCATAATCTCAGCAGTGTAGAAAAAAAGAGCCTATTGATCATAAAACCCAGAAAATAAATAGTGTGAAGGACGCACATAGGAGGCTATTCTGATTTATGTCAGCTGCAGGAGTGCTTCGTCATGCCCAAGACAGTTAAGATGCAATGCAGACTCCCAGGGACATCAAAGCAAAGGGCTCCAGCTGATTCACACCCTAGGCAGGGTGGACTTGTGGTCATCTCCACCTAGGGAGGAGATGGCTGTGCACATCCTGCAATTGCCCCACATCTCTCTCTCACTCCACCTAATTTAATTGAAGCTTTGAGTGTTCTTGAGCCACTTTCCTATTATACCAGGTATTTACTGGAGAGCACTAATACTATCATTCCAACACTTCAGGTGCCTTTTATCTCTGCTCAGAAAACACTAGAGTGCCTTGCTCTTTCTTTCCAGGCCAGGAATGAGAGGCAGACACTGGCTTCCATGTTCAGCCTTCCCAATCCAAGCACTTCCCTCCAACCCAGGCCATTCCACTGGAACTTAACTGTGAGTGACAAAAATGAAGTTGATCTTGATCCCTCAGGGGAGGATTTGGAGCTTTCATGTCTCTTTTGAATAATTCACCCCACACATTCGAATTCATTTTTGCTTTTCTTGGGTTCTTGCACACCTCCACAATTTGACTTTAACGCACAGTGGAAAAAGATTTTGGAATTAGACAGAGGCTGAGTTAGAATCACATAAAGTTATTTAGCTTTTCTGTCTCAGTTGCCTCCTATATGAAGTAAGAGGTTGCGATGCCAATTTTTCAGGAACAATGGGGGTCAAACTGGATCATATATGTAAAACTCCTAGCGCAGTGCCTGGCAGATGGCAGGTACTAAGGGGATTGCTTTGATTATGATCATTAGTATTACTGTTATTATTATACGAAACTGTGTAGCTGTTGCCAACCCAACCCAGGCAGTTAGTCACCAGGTCACCCCACGTTAAGTGCGAGAAATAGGATATCTGCCACCTAGTTCGTGAGGCCATCTGTAAAAATCCATTTTGGTCCTCTTAGAGCTTGCCATTATGCCTAATCCTTGCCACTTGAGTGGGGAGACCACTACGAACACACCCTCGGGAATGAGGGAGAAAGTTCATTCTTCTCAGCCATGTCCTGACACCCTCCCGACACCCTCGAGATTCACACCATCACTCAGCTCTGGCCTTGCTGCTCATGGGGAAAAGAATAGGCTGACTACAGGGAATTAAAATATTATTTAACGAGGCTCATGTTTAATCCTCCTCGGGCTCTATAAATGACTTTTTCTTCCTTTTGTTTTTAATTTACAAACGTCCTCCCCCTAACAGTAGGAAGTGGCTGAGGGGCCAAGAACGGAATATAATATGCCAAGTGAGGCCTTCGAGATGAGACTGAGGAAACGCAAGTTCCCCTCCTTACGCGTCGTGGGGGATTCAGCGGCCTTTCCATCTCCTTGGTCAGCCTGACTCCTTTTTGCGTCTGCCCACACTCTCCGTTTTTGATGACTTGAACATTGTTCTACTCCAAATACCTTCCTCGCACTACACCCCCACCTTGGCCCATCCATTACACCCCTGGAGCACAAGTCCTTCCTAGCCTGTGGATCTCACTTCTGAGCTAAACCACAGTTCCACCTGACCACTTTCCCCTGCCAGGGACAGACAGGAGGAGTGGGTGGGGGCATCAAGCAAAGAAACGCCTCGAAATCTTTCACCTTAGATTTCTGTGACTGTGCCACATCTATTCACCAAGGAAAGGAACACAATGCCTTGTATTAGCAAATGTTCTTAGCGCATAGAACACACAATTATCTTCGCTCTGGCTGCTGTATCCAGCCAGAAGTAGGAGCTGTTTAGCTGGAGCTATCACATGGTACCTAGAACTTCTCCATCTTTCCATTGCCCTACATTTGTCAAGTTTTTTAGTGTCGTCCATTGTCAGCTTGGAGGGGTTTCCGTTATTTTCAGCGGTGCTCCCCAACACATTCGGAAACAGAATGAACGATATTCTTAAATTTCTGGCCTGGATCATCCCTAGTTACCCAGTCACAATACTAAAGGACCCTCCCACCACCCTCAGCAGAGAACCCCTCAGCCTGAGGAAGGAAGGGGCGCAGGAAGACGATCCTCATGACCTTCATGGACAATCAGGAGTGACACCTGACAGGAGACTCTCTGGGCATCTCCCAGACAGCAGAGCAGATGGGTTTAAATAACAGGAGACCCCTTGCTCTTAGGACTGCCACCCTCGCACCGCTTGCAATGTAGCTTGCAGGGAGTCTCATTTCCATGTCCTGGTGTGTATCTTGCTTCCTAAAAAAATCACTGAAAAGACACCATTTCTGCCATTTGTATCACTGTCCGCATTGCTTGCTATAACTCTCTCTCCTGGCAGTACGTTTTACTGACACAAGAACTGGCTTCTCCTCCACACCTTTCTAAAATGCTGTGGATGTCAGTCTCTGATGGACAGCATACCCCTAGTCATAGCTGGGCAGCTCAAACCGGGAAGCAGGGGGTAACGGCATGGCCGTTCTGACTGTTTGGGTGCAGTGCCTGCCTCTCTCAGCATTTGCTGCACTGAGCAGTCCCAAAGTTTGTCAGTTGGTGACTGGAAACTCCCACACCATTGCATTACTTGTGGTGCTCGGACCCAGGCCACCGGAGCGAGTCAACTACTTGAAGAATAGAACATCCACCGACTGCATTATGCAGGGTGCCAGGAACACATTTTTCCACCCACCACTGTAATCAGAATGGAATCTCCTCTTTTACCCTCACCGACCCAACGTGCCTGGAACAGGGGTGGTCAGGACTCCATGGGGCTGGGTGGGAAATTGAGAAAAGTACAGGAGGTATGAATGTTGAAACTCTATAGAGAAAAGTGCTCGTTAAGAAAAATGCATGTGGGAGACTTACAGCCACACATAGGTTCTCTGTTATTCCTTCTCCGTTCTTCTTTCTGCCCTAACTTTCTGCACAGGTCGGCCAGTTCCCTTTCCAGCACCGCCATTTTTTGTTTCTGACCACGCTTCTCCTTTCCTTCTTGAAATGCCCAGACCACATTAGAGCAACAGTCTCTTTATGCTCCTGTCCCTGATGCAAGCCTCACAACCACTGGCCATTCTAGATTTGGATTGTTTTGCTAAGAGAAAATTGATTACAGTCAGTGGAAGTGACCCTGAGGATCACAACTGCTGGTGCT